TTTTCGAATAAATGAAATAATACATTTTTAAATAAAAAAAAATCATTAAATTAAAAAAAAATTAGATACATACTAGTTAATATAAATTTTAGTTTTCAAAAACAATTAAGCTAAATACGGGTATTGTCTGTTTCGAGCAATTTTAATTAATTAATTTTAAACATTCTAATTGTTTTTTGTTTAATACAATATGATTCGAAAAAACTGAGAACGTCTATCAAATTGCTACTTAGTCTATCAAATGCTAAATAAGATATCAAATGCTATTGAACCGATATGTTTTCAAGAATCAAAACGCTTTCATCTATCTTTTATATTTGGCTATATGTGTCATTTTCCATGTATACAGTGAAAACCGACTTTATGCACTCAAAAACCGGTTTTCGAATTCCATAATTTTCGCCAAAAAAACGGTTTTTAAAACTTTAGTTAAGATGATTCCTTTTTGTAATAATTCACTTAAAAATATAGCCCTAACATAATTGATGTATATAAGTCAAATTTTCCATTTTCACTCTTTGCATTCTATTACAATTCTTAATTTTTCTACTACTACCTCTCAGTTTTTTTTTCTCTAACTAATGTCAACTTTAGATATTTGTTTCCATTTTCAATATTTAATAGTTTTTATTATTTTTATCAGAATACATAAAGAAAGAAGGATGTTAAGGTAATTTTTGCATTATGCATTTTATTAAAAGTTGTGTATATTATGTATAAAACAGGACTCTGCGAAACGTCTCTGACTTGTGACGTAAAACTGTTGCAACACAAAATTTAAGACACGATTTTAACTATTTGTTCGATTTTTAATTTTATTTCTCGAGCTATTTTAAAATTCTAAAGTATAACCCATGTATATTATGTGGCAATTATCACAATTTATTTTACGAGGGATTTCAAATAAGAAAGCAAAAATACACTCATTTAACGGAGTTAGTTTTTTCTTATAAGGAGTGTAAATTGGAGGTAGAAGTTAGGAATTATTTTTTCAGTTTGAAATTATTTGAAAATATAAATTTAAATGTTTCCAAGTGAAAATAATACAAGCATTATGATGCTTTCGGAATGCCTTTTAAAAAAGCTGATAGTTTCGAAGAAAAATCATCACAAAATACCAAAACCAACCAACAAATGTAGACAAGTATGTATTGCCCTAAATTTGTCATATTAATCTCAATTATCGTTATTATTGTTAACCAAAAACTTTTACAATTGACTCGTAATTTATCATAAAAAAATTTTCTCACCTTGCTCTGGCTTTGGTGAGCTGATCGATTTGATCCTGGTAATCGGCGATGATTTCCTGGTGCTTTTTCTTCAATAAATGTGCAGTTTCTTCGGACTCCAAATGGACATCTTCTAACAATTTACGCAACTTGGTCAATTCGGTGTCGCGTTTGCGATTAATTTCAAACTGAAAAATAATAAAAAATGAAATATTGACAGTGGAAACAAATATCTAAAGTTCACATAGTAGTAGAAAAATTAAGAATTGTACTAGAATGCAAAAGGTAAATGAATTTTACTTTATATTTAAGCTAATTACTACAAGAAGGAATCATCAGAGCACATAAAGAAAGAAGGATGTTAAGGTACTTTTTGCATAAAGCAGAAGTATTATGCATTTTATTAAAAGTTGTGTATATTATGTATAAAACAGGACTCTGCAAAACGTCTCTGACTTGTGATGTAAAACTGTTGCAACATAAAATTTAAGACATGATTTTAACCATCTGTATCCATTATTTGATTTTAAATTTTATTCTAAAGGTAACCCACGTAAGTTACGGTACAATCTTCACAATTTATTTCAGAAGGTATTTCTAAGAAAGCAAAAATGGACTCATTTAACGGAGTTAGATTTTTTTTTTAAAGAGTGTAAGTTGGAGGTAGATGTTAGGAATTATTTTATAAATTATTTTTATTTATTACCTGGCTTTCGGCACCTCCTTCGGCCTCTTCTAACCTTTCTGACAGTTGAATGACTTGTACACTCAAATCTGCCTTCTCGCGCTCGATCTAAACCCAAAAAAATAAATAAAAATATATTGATATATCGAAAAACACTCGCATTTGGCTAAGCAAATAATAGTTAAATTATTTAACATTAATAAATAAATAAAATAAACAAAAATAAATATCGTTGGAAAAAATAACATTAATTTCTGGATCTTCTCAGAGAATATTCCTGGTATAAGTATGTAGTAAATCTTCAAATCTTTAGCACATTTGCATTATAAGTATTTAATTCCTAAATCTCATCTGTATTTATTAATTAATAAAATATAATATTATATCTTCCTTAAATCAATTTAACAAACTAGTTTCAATGTATTGCAAGTTTTCCACTGTTATGACAATAAAAAAGTGCGGAATCATAAGATAATAATTATTGATATGGTTATTAATACAGACACAACTTCTGGCAAAGATAAATATTTGTATGAGTACAACTAATATAAAAACGTATTTTATGTATTTGTATTTTTAAAAATATTTATAACAAAATAATAAACTCACCCTGGCACGGAGTTCCCTTTCGGATTCGAGGTCATCGTGTAAAAGACGAATTTTATCCTGCAAAAAAAAATTAAAGTTCTTGTTATATCAAAAAATCTGTTGCCAAAAAAATTTTGAAGGTAAATAATTTTTACTACTAAACTTATATTTTTCTACATATCTTTTTTCTATGCTAAGAATGCTAAGACTTCCTAAAAGCCATGTCAGACATACATGTCTGACATAATAATTTGATAAGAGGAAAATAGAAGTTTTAATAAAGGTCCATGTCAATCATATGTGTGATAAAAATAGTGTTTTTCCAGATATTTTGGCAAAAATGATTTTTTTCTATACATTAAATTTTCTTGATACCTTTTTGACTTATTTTCTATTATTACAGATATTACCGTGGCGATTTGTTATTTTATAAAAATTGTTTTTGATAAAAACATAAATCTGATGTTTCATCTGATGATGAAACGTATCTAGTTCCGAAACGTCGTTATCTACAAAAAACTAATTATTTTTCATTGAGTTTCATCTGATGATGAAACGTATCTAGTTCCGAAACGTCGTAATCTACAAAAAAACTAATTATTTTTAATATATTGGTTCAATTGTTCGGAAAAGAAACCTAAATCTATTTTATATAAGTGCTAATGTGTAATAATTCTATGTGTATTAATGTAAATAATGTTAGTAATGTGTAATAATTCTATATATGTATTAATGTAAATAATAAGCTAGCTGTAAGTGGCATGTTTTTGCCTTAAGGCAAGTAGCATGAATTTGTTATTATTTATTATTAATCAATATATGAATTTGATATATCAATATATGAATACAGAAATCTTGTAGAAAATTCATATTAAAAAATATTTTTGCAGAATGTTCAACATAAAATTAGTAAAAACAAATTATCTAGTTGATGGAACCTTTAAATGATATTTTATAGATCTCTCTTAGAACTTCACTTAATTATGTTCATCTGTGTATCAAGTTTAATTATTTGTTTCTAATAGTGTGTTTATTGTAATGTCTATTATCCAAATACATTTTTCAGCTATAATTTTTCTATTTCAGTTATCCATAAATCTTTTTACACCATTGTAATGTGTGTTATCCAAGAAGCACTTTTTCGTTTTTCACATTCCGTAGCACCTTTTTTTTATTTTTGGCACAGTTTATTTTTCAACAAAACCGCACACATTTTTTTTCATGAAATTTATTTCGGTCTCAAACACAGTCTGGTCTTATGAGTACATCGATCTTGCATCACCACTTTATTTTTAACACTTATTGTTAGATTCACAAGATTTAAAATTAATTAAACAAAAATCTAGTTAGGTTCCATCATTAGAACAACAAATATATATTTTTTTAACATGAATTATATAAAAATTTGGAAGATATCGACATGAGCTTTGATATAAAAATATCATTGTACAGCCAGTAATAATAGATATATATTATAATCATTGTTAGGGGTTTATTAGGTTAAGTAAAAGTTTTATCAGTTAGTGAATTATAAATAAATTATTTTATTATCAGGATTTATCTATAAGACCACAAATGCCAGAACAAGTAAATCCATATTAATCATACTTTAAAAATTGGAAAATACTTTTATTAAACTGTATCGTTGTTCTTAAAACTTTATTTAATTAGTCATAAATAATACTTCATTATAATAAAATATTAATTAGTATCTTAGAAACTAATCAATTTTGTGAAATTTGAATTTTGAGGAATGATAAGTAAATATTGTACTCAAATCTTACATTGCATTTATTACATAAAATAATCAATCAACTTCTTAGTAATTATTAACTTTCCGTAGGGCAAGTTAAAGTGATCGCAGAAAAATCGAAAATAAAAATTTTTATATATCTTCACGTTTCAAAACCTTCTGAACATTTTGGCATACCTTAGAAAAAGGATGTGCGTGTGTGCGTGTGTGTCAACCGATTTGAGTAATTCAGAAAACATTCGATTGTTGTATAAAACAGGACTCTGCAAAACGTCTCTGACATGTGATGTAAAATTGCGCGCTTCAATATTTCGATTTCCAAATCAGCTAGACAGCGCGATTGTTTTAAAAAAATGTTCAAAACAAAATCAAAATATAAAAAAAAAAACAATTTTCTCAAAAAAGTCAAATTTTTTCAAAAATTTCTCAAAAATCTAATTTTTTCAAAGTTTTGCCAAGTTTTTTTCAAATTTATTTTTTGGTACAGGAAGTTCCCTCAATATTCCTGAAAGCACATTGGCATGCACCACTAGTTTAAATTCAATTTCACAAATATTTGAATGATTTCTAATTGTTTTAAAAATATTAACACTGAAAACCGCGCGTCCCAGGCGAAACCGGTACGTCCTGTGTTGCTTAACCCGAAACAATGCCCTGTTTCAGGTCAAATGCATATTCGGCCTACGGTTTAATATGGATAGATATATTTCTTAATCTATTATAGAAATATAGCTTACTCTATTCTATCTACGCGGAAATGAATTTTTTGAAACTTTATATATTAAAAACTGCGATTTTGATATGAACTACAATATATAGCATTTACAACGTTTTTGTTGTAATTATTAGTGATATAAAGGAAAGTATAGGATGAAATAAATTGCCGGTCGTCGAATTTGCCAGCACGCTACAAAAAAATATTTCTAACATTTTAATTGTTGGTAAGTAATATAAAATAAATAAAAAGCTATGAGATTTTCGCCAACAATACTAAAAATGACGCAACCAGAAATATGTCGGATTCTTGTTAACTAACTTAACCGCCTTCGCTAAGTTTAAGTGGATGTTACAGTTAACACCTTACACTTGTAAAAGTAAATATACATATATATTTATATGTATCTATGTATATGTATAAAATAAGTTTATAATTGTACGAGTAAGAGCTCTATGAGATCGCTTCTAAAAACGGCGCCGAATTCGAAAATAGAACGCGATTTCTCGAACGAAACGATCCGACTCAATTTACACAACTTGCATGCATTTGAAATGTCACATTTTTAATAGAATATAATATAAAATAGAATAATTTTAGAAATTAAATTTGATATAGGGTTAAATAGTAAATTTTGATCTATATCAAGATTATTCAGTAGAGGCATAATTATAAAAGTATCACTATCGCTAAACTAATTAATATAATAATAACTAAAATAATTAATAAATATAATAACTAATAGGAACATCCAAATAAAAAATAAAAATTATATATATATATATATATATATATATATACGTGGTCTGTCAAAAAGTACCCGGAATTTTCGTTTTTTCAAAAAAATATTTATTTATTCGTCTACATTAATGTGGTCCCCTTCAAAGTAGTCCCCCCCAGATATAATACACTTATGCCAGCGTTTTTTCCAATTTTCGAAGCACCCTTGATATTCACTTTTTGATATGTCCTTGAGCACTCTCAGCGATTCGGCCTTTATTTCTTCAATCGAGGAAAACCGCCGTCCTTTCATGGGTCTCTTCAACTTTGGGAATAGGAAAAAGTCACACGGAGCCATATCTGGTGAATTTTTGCACTTTGCAACACTTTATTTCATTTTTTACGCAAAATTTAATACAAATTCTTTGACTTTTCAATTCTTCCATTGTAAAAATCGCCGAGCTCAGAAAAACACGTCGAACCTTAGCGACTACCACAGACAAAGTAAACAGTGAATATAGCTGAAAATTTCATCATACTTTAGGGGCATGTATACCAACACAATAAAAAAAAAATTTGACAATCAGACACTCCAGACCCGCGAAATTTAATTATTAGTAATTCCGGGTACTTTTTGAACAGACCACGTATATGTAATTTAAAAGAAAGAAAATTTTTATAAATTTAAGAATGCAAATTATATTCGGAGCCTGAAATTTCGTTCCTGTATAACATTAACAATATGTTTTATTTCTTGCCGAAAATGCTGTTTCTATTTATTTATAATCTATATTTATATTTCAATCAATCTGTACGACTAAAGTTTAACATTTTGAATCAACTTTGATAAATTTTTATAACCAAAATGCACAGTGCTACCATGTAATTTTTTTTGTTCTAAAAACCAATCAGCAAAATCCCATAAAACTATCGCGTTCGTTTATAATTTTAGTATGAAAAAAAGTTTGTGAGAATGTAAAAAAGTTTGTATTCCGAAATATTAATAAACATTTGTGGCAAATGCAAGAAAAACTTCAATATTACTTCAGTTCATCTGACTTACAAAATATATGATTTTTTTGTTTACACAAGCATAAATATATTTGAAGAAAATGTGTGTCATCCAATATTTTTTATGTTAGGTCAGTAATAGTTTGGCTTAATTACATTTCATAATATTATTTCAATCTATTGATGTCATTTTTATACCTACAAGTGGCAAACAATTATTCAAAACGTAGTGTAAATCCGAATTACCTTATGGCAAAATGTCGAAAAAAAATTATCAAAAAAATACATTATAAATATTATTTGAAAGTTTTGTTTTTTAGAAAATATTGTTATTTAATATATTTTTAAATTTAAGCGAAAAATTGCGGTTAAAGTTAATGGTATACAGGTTTTTCAAATAAAATTTATAAAGTTTATTAATAAAGCATGAAAAAATTTTCAAAAATTTTGCAGAGCGTCGAATTTTCAATAAAAAGTTACACAAATTTTCACTTTTATTATTATTATTATTATTATTATCTTACTATTTCTATTATTGTTATTTTGTTATATTTTATTATTTTTCTAGTATTAATTTATTATTCTGAAATTTTATTTATATTATTTATTAATCTTATTTTTATTATTATTTGCTTATATTTTACATTAAATCATATTACGGATATTATTTTCATGTAAATTTTATCCTTTGCTCTTTTATTTATTTAAATTTATATTATTATTTATCAATATTACTTAATGTTAATAAATTAGCAGTTGTAACAATTATTGAAATTAAAAAAAAAAAAAAAAAAAAATCACTTTTAATTTTTTCCATGCTATTTCTATACAAAGTTTGATTGAATTGCGCTCTATCTAAAAGTTAAAATAATAAGAGCTAAAACTTTCAGAGAATTGTTTTTTTTTATCAATTTGGAACCATTTGAGCCCTTGGGAGCAAGGAAATTCGAAAATGTGCATATTAAGGACCACCCTAATATATATATATATATATATATATATATATATATATATATATGCATTTCTTGCAAAGATGTACAACCACCTACTTTTTAATTTTGCGCCTAATCTATGGTATCCAAGCCATAATTAGCATACCAAAAATTTTACAATAACAATAAAAAACCATGATTTATGACTAAATTATAGTTTATCCCAAGGTAACGCGATATCCGTCTCTGTGACCAAATATCGGTCGACAGGTGAATTGAACGAACGCAGGCGTCTTGCTTCTATTTCGGGAGCAACTCGTTTCGTTCTGCTCCAATTTTAAAATGGAAATATTTCGAAAAATTATCAGAACAAGATAATCAAATATTTACATTAGATTATCTAGGACAAATCAAAGCAAAAATAACAATCCCTGGAACTACGTACGCAATAATTTTTTTTAACTGTGTTTTATTCAGCAATCAGAAATACATAAGGATTATTATAAGCTAAAATGACAATATTTGAGAGCTATGTCTAAGAAGAACTCCAGTTTAACATTTAAAAAGATAATGTTATATTGAAGCTAATCTAATTAATATATAGCATTCCCGGTTTCAATAAAGTTGCTTATAATTTTTATAATTTCGTACCATATTTTAACTATTTTTTAGTAATTTCTAATATCTAAATTACATTTTTCTCACGAATAATTCAATATACATTGTTACCTAAGTTCATATTTGAAGTGAATTAATTTGTCAAATTTTGTTCACATGTGCTCTATTCAACCTACGATCAACAAAATTATTGCAGTAAATCAAGAGGAAAAAAGAGTGTGCCCTGCGATTTTTTTACTGTGCTCCAATTTGATTGATATTTTGGAAATAGGCTAATCTTAATCTTGAGTTCAGAAGTGAAAACTCTTCTTCAAAAACGATTATAATTCTTTTAATTCTGAATTTATCAAAACTTGCACTATACTATTTTAAAAATAATTAAAAAAATAATTGGGAACAAAGTCTCTGGAATGGTATGATGCTTTTCATATTTATTCGGATTAATATACAAATTGCAATAGTTGTTTAAAAATCTTAAATAATAAATAAATTTTAAACATTTAAAAATCTTAAACAATAATATTTTTTTTATATAACGCCGCGACTATACTAGTATATCAGTCAGAATTAAAGACTTTTAGGCTATTGAAAAATTTTAATCTAGACCTGTATTTCAATTATTTTTTAATTGTTGATGATTGTGCAAAGACTAAATTACTGGTTATAGTAAGCTTCTGATGTTTCAATTTGTAAAGATTAAATTGTAATTTTTCATCACCCACACTTTTAAACAAGCAAGTATTTTTTTTTAATTTTCAATTTATTTAATTTAATATAATTTAATTTAGTATTCAATTAATTAGATATTATTGTTTACTTTATGGTATCACCAATTCTTAAAATATTTTATTATAATTTTTTATTGTGTCAAAGATAATTGGATCAGCCAATGACCCTAAGGTTCTAAAATTTCATACTCGTCAATACATATATATATATTAGGGTGGTACTTAATATGGGCATTTTTGAATTTTCTTGCTCCCAATCATTTAGCAAACAAAATGATTGATGATTTGATGATGAGGGTAATAAGGACATAAAATGGTAAATTATTATTATGATTTGAAAGATCTTCACATTAATAGATGATATAAATACAATTTTAGATTCCAAATATTTTTGTTCCTGTCAATTTCTGAATAAAATTTTTACACGCATGCACTATTGTTTAGTTTTTCTATTACTATATTGTGATAAGAGTCATGTACTAGAAAAGCAAATTTCGTTTATTAACGCAAAGAGAGTTTAAAAAGATAAATACAGATTCAGCAAATTTTCTGAGGTCAACATTCTTTTCCTTATGTAAAATAATAGGATTTATTGTATTAAATGTATGGTTTGAACTAACGACATGTTCCGAAATCATTGTCTTAAACTGAATATTATTTTTTGTATTGCATTCTCTTATAAATATATTGCGATCTTTCACCAATATAACAACAATTACAATCATTGCAATTCATTTTATAAACAACATCAGTAACAAGCTCAACTGGAGTTCTAGAGTTTAGGGGAGTAAAAAGTGAGTTTATTTATTTGTTATCTATTAGAAAATTGTTTATGTTTTGAATTAAACAAAATTGTTTAAATTATTTGTTCCTGGAAATATACATGTATGTATATTAGGGTGGTCCTTAATATGGTCATTTTCGATTTTCCTTGCTCCCAGGGGCTCAAACGGTTCCAAATTAATAAAAAACAAATCTCTGAATGTTTTAGTTTCGACTTCAATCAAACTTCGTTTGGAAATGGAAAAAATGTTGAAGATTAAAAGAAAAAAATTTTAGGTATAACTTAGCGACAAATGAATTAAAAGTGAAAAACGTGTCATTTTTTATTGAAATTTCGACGCTGTGCAAAATTTTTGAAATTTTTTTTTTGAACAAAATTTTGATTGAATTCTATCTAAAAGACAATATTAAGAGCTAAAACTGTGAGAAAATTGTTTTTTATCAATTTAGAACCATTTGAGCCCTTGGGACAGGAACAAAAATATTTGGAATTAAAAATTCTATTTGTATTATCTCTTAATGTGAAGATCCTTCAAATAATAATTTAACATTATATGTCCTTATTACCCTCATTATCAAACCATCAATCATTTTGTTTGATAAATGATTAACTAATATTTCTTAAAAGTCGCTAATTATAATAATAAATATGAAGTATTGCCAAACGAGACTACAAAAACTGTTTTCTTAATGTTGGTCGAAGATCAGCCAAAACGTTTCTTTCAACACAAACTAACATTTAAACTTATTATGATGATATTAAGATGACCAATGATGACGATAAATTTAAAAGAAAAATAAAGAAATACTATAAGGAAATTGAAGACAAAGAAGACTTATATATGAAGATTTTTAATTATATATAGATATTATATTAATGAAATAGATATTATAGTCAAATGAAATGTATATATTATATAAAAACTGTTTTTCATAATCTCTCATACCAGGCACCTCTGCCTGACTGAGATATGAAAATAATGTATAAGAAAAAAAAACACATATTTTAAACCTGCGATAAAAAATATTTTTTGTAGACGATTCTAGAAAGAGTTCGAAACTCCAAAAAATTGCTAGTGCTATATTAACCTTAAGAACTGCAAAATAACACACATCACTATTTAGGAACTAAGTTTGTTCATAGACCTAAAGACGAGACTACAGTTTCCAAATTTTTTAGGGCACTTGGCTGAGCTAGCAGGTTATTTAACACACATCCCTTTGCATTTGGATCCTAATCTATCAATCTATCAATAAATCAATTATCTATCCCTTATTACCTCCAATCTGGTGAGGGCACTGAGATCAGCACTGTACTCGATGCTGACATCAGCGTTTCCTCCGCCGGTCGATCTGTAAGAATACTTCGAAGTTTTCGTCGTGGACGCCATCTCTCCAAACAATAACTATTGATTGATATCAAATAATCCTCACAAAACTAATATAAATAAATAAATAATAAATGAGACCACTACTACTAGTTAGAGCTATCACTTTTCGAGCAGGAACCCTCGGGAGTACCTGACGCCGCGACGCTTCGTTTGCGAATAAGCGAATCGTTTTGGGAATTCGTTCGGACGGGAAATGTTCCTTCTTTCGAACGAGACCGAGATTCGGCACCAAAAGCACCAGGACGGACAGACGGACAGACGGATGTGTGGGTGATTATAGGCGACAGTAGGCGAAGAGCGGCGTTCCCAACGCCGAGGCTAAAAATATAGATTTGTGTGCGGCCATGGGCGCCTCATAGACATTCGGGAGCAAGGAGCAGTTCTCTCAAAAGCTGACATTTTAATAATTCTTGCTACATATCTCCGAAGCCGCTGGACCTGTTTTCGTCAAAAACTAATCAACACAACACCCTATCAATAAGAATCGAATGGTAAAAGAATCATTCAAATTGGTTGATTCGTGTGCCCGAAAACGTCGTTAGAAAATTTGTATCCGCACACACACACATCCATTTTTTCTGAGGTATGCCAAAATGTTCAGAAACCTGTGAAACGAAGATATGCAAAAATTTTCATTTTCGAGTTTTGGCACATTACTATAACTTACACTAAGTGCGAATTATAAGCTTACCCTTATGAACAAAATTGTTAAACTCGGCATATAAATACATATTTATTAAACTCGACAAATATTATAAATATTATAAATGCCCAACGAAGATGCAAATTATTCGATCCCTATTGATATGGAGATGTGCTGATTAGTTTTTGGCAAAGGCAGGTCCAGCAGTTTAGGAGATATAGAGCAAAGAGTGCAGAAAATAGAAATCGAGTTTTTGAGAGAACGGATTATCCGATTTGTATGATCAAAAAAACATTCAGTTCGTAATGACGGGAAAAAGTGGTTATTAGTTTTTGGCAGAGGCAGGCCCAGCCATTTCGAAGATACAGAGCTAAATGTGCAAAAAATGGCAGTTTTTGAGTGAACTAAGCGTCCGATTTGAATGATCTAAAAAAACTTTCGGCTTGTATTGACAAAACAATTGCTTTTGAGGATAAATGGAAAATTATTACATTTTTTTTATTTTCCATAAAATATTTTTGTGATTTTGGATTTAAAAAAATTCAACAAATGGCCCAGGCTAAGCACAGTCTAAGCGCCACTCTGGTACAAATGTATTCGCAAGTGCGTTTAGGCTGTTTATGTATTTGAGCAATTTTCCAATTTTGTGAAAAATAAATTGAAAAATGTGTAAATGCCACCAAGCTAAGCACAGTATAAGTGAGAGTGTCGCACAGAATTATTTGCAAAAGCATATAGACTGTGACTATACGGGAGCACTTTTTCAATTTTGTGCAAATTAGGAAACTTTTTTTTGTTTTTGAAATTGAATTCGAAATGAAATAACGATTGTTGTTAATGTTCTGAAGATAAATTGATTTATGATTTACATTTGATTTGCTCGGATAAAACAATAAAAAAGCAAAAAAATAATTAGATTTTTTGTGGTTGTTGATATTCTTTACTTTTTGTAGTAAAGCGTTACTGGTTATCAAAGATGTCAAATAATTTGATTACCATTGTGGTGTCAAAATGATGAGACTATAGTGTTATTGTTTATTTTGAAATGCTTCCAAAGAATTAGGTGGTAAATTTAGAAGTTCACAGTTAATGAATGGAATCGGGTGAAGCAATCTAAAGAATCAATGATGTCAACATTGAAAAATCATGAAGTAATAAAAAACTTTTGTTTGGTGAGAAAAATGGAGACTGTAAGAAACTCATTGCCGAAGTCTACTGTCAATTTTCATTGAAACTGGATGAAACATCTAAATAATAAAGCTGACGAAATTGTTTTTGGATGACCTTGTGCAAAAAGCATGTATTTTACAGTAAGAACTTTAGTGGATATGAACCAAATCGCAAAAATAGTGACTTCTGCACTGATCAGATTTATTTTTTTTTTCTATTAGATTTATTATTTCCTATCTAGTTCCTCTTTGTAGAAAGAAAACTTTTGTAGAACTTTATTAGATATGCTATTGGAACGAAAAGGCAACATTGGCAAAGCCAGAGAAGAATACCTTTTGCACAACTTCAACAATCGCGTAAAGAAAATATTTATCTACCAACTGGTGGTGGTGTTTATTAGTACAGTCAAGTGGCCTGAGTCATTTTATCTGTCGTCGCCTTCTGGTGGTCGAAGTTTAAATTTAACTTTTGCCTTTTGGCGGATTCTGCGCAATTCTCTCTACTCTGCTCTGGTCCACTCTGAACAAGATTTCGCGCGATCATCGAGCAACGCGGAAATATTCTATTTGACTCATACGAAATATTTCACAGTGACGGAGATTCGGAAAATAAAATTGGAAAATAAAATGTAACCAGAAAAAAAACGATAGCAGTTATAGAAAGTATCACTAAATATGTAATGCCTAAAGCAACCCTGAATTTAACCCATTACCATGTTTAGAAATATGCAAATTGTCTTCTAACATTCTTGAAGTCAAATGAAATATATACATAAATATATATATATATATATATATATATATATAAAATATTAACTGTTTTTCATAATCTCTCATACCAGGCACCTCTGTCTGACTGAGATATGAAAATAATGTATATATGTATATATATATATATAAATAAAAAAAAATAGTTATATGGTAAGTTCTAGGATAATAATAAAAAAGTCTGGTCATTTTGCCAATGTTGCAAGCTGAATGGATCTAAGTCAAAATTTAAATTTTGTGACAATCTCTGATTCGAAATCGGAATATTTTATATTTTTTATTTTTGCTTGAAAATTATTGAGTCCTATAAAAATTTATGTTCATACCTGTAATCTAATTAAAAAATAGGCATCATACTTAGCCTATGAGCAAAACAGTTCCTAATTCTGTTGATTACGAATAATAAGATGTGCATAGCATTTGAATGTAATATTTGTCAAAAACTTTTCCCTATTCGATATAAAAGTTTTGAAAAAAAAAAACGATTTTGAATTCGACATTTCATTCTTAAGCAATAAATATAGAAAATTCGGGACATTTTTTTAGGTTTTTGTCAAATAACTTAAAAATTTCATATGAAACCACCCTTTTTCAGTTAGATCGGGTGAAATAAGATAAAGTTTACTACTTTCCCTTAGAAACAGTTATATACATTCCAATATAAAAGTTTTGAATAAAACGACTTTTTTGAATTCGACATTTCATTCTTTAGCAATAAATAGAAAATTCGGGACATTTTCTTGGTTTTTGTCAAATAATTCAAAAATTTCATATGAAACCACCCCTTTTTAGTTAGATCGGGTAAAATTAGATAAAAATTACTACATTTCCTCTAAAACAGTTATACACATTCCGATATAAAAGTTTTGGATAAAACGACTTTGAATTCGATATTTTATATTTAAGCAATAAATATAGAAAATTCGGGACATTTTCTTGGTTTTTGACAAATAATTCAAAAACTTCACATAGAACCACCCCTTTTCAGTTAGATAGGGTGAAATTAGATAAAATTTACTATAATCTCTTGGAAATAGTTATATACATTCCGATATAAAAGTTTTGGATAAAACGACTTTGAATTCGGCATTTCATTTTTAAGCATTAAATATAGAAAATTCGGGACATTTTCATGGCTTTTGTCAAATAACTTAAAAATTTCATATGAAACCACCCCTTTTCAGTTAGATAGGGTGAAACTAGATAAAATTTGCTACATTTCCTTGGGAACAGTTATACACATTCCGATATAAAAGTTTTGGATAAAACGACTTTAAATTCGATATTTCATTCTTTAGCAATAAATAAAAAAATTGGGACAGTTTTTTGGTTTTTGTTCAGCAATAAATAAAAAATTTGGGACAGTTTTTTGGTTTGTCAAATAACTCAAAAATTTCGTCAAAGTAACATGTAAACTAAAATGTTGTCAGTCGTCTACAAGATCCACTTGTAGATTTTCTAAATATAAATGTTTTTGTCACATTCTCTGTGTCTAACATTTTATGATTCACCATTTCGACGAACAGCGAAGAGAATTTTTATTACTCGTATAAATTATATATATATATATATATATATATATATATACTAGTATATCAACCTGAGTTTCGTGTTGTAGAAGAAACTATAAACATAAAATGCTACATTTGCTGTTTATGGAGCAGAGACATGGATTTTAAGAAAAAAAAACGCAACCAACAAAATTGATGCATTTTCCACATTAGTTATTTCACTCTGCGTGGATTAGAGACATAGACTCTGAAAAATGATGCAAAACCAATATAAATGCAAACTTATGCATTTTCTACATTTGGAGTAGAATCAGAATTTTGAATTCTGATAGAAAGAACACTACATCTACACTATATTTTTAGTATGACAAGTCTAATGATCAGATCTTTGGACCTTGAAAATAAAATCACTTCTAACAAACAAACTAACGTTAGACATATTTTCACAACCAGAGGATAGCTAATTGACCATATATGTATTTTTCATAAAAGCGTGATTTTGGGAAAAAATCATCACCTACAATTAATGACTAATTATATCCGTGAGTCTTTCTATATGTGTCGTCAATTTTCTATTTTGTTTACCGCCGTTGATATTACTAAGTCATCCTATTTTTAGACAGCCATTAAGGTGAAAGGTGATACACGGGATAATTTTAGATCGGATTTTGCATCAGCACGACCAAAATAGATCATCAATCACTTGATGCAATTCATTAATTTTAAATCTTGATTGAAACACGAATTTTTAGATGCTGATGAAGTGATGACTCTCTTTGGATTGTTTTGATGTTGTTTTTTGTTGACATCTGATATTGGTAAAAACAATATTATATAGAAATGCCAACGTGACCGAATTGGATTATTAGCCAAACTTATTATTGTTTTTTTAAATAAAATTATGTTTATGAAACATAACCAATACTCAAAGATGACCAACAGAAGTTGATAATAATCATGTGGAATACCTATAATTAAACTGTGCATATGATTTATTGGAAGATCTGAAAAGGGTTAAGATTATGAAATAAATATTTTGAAGTCCTTAAGGATTTCGGTATTTAGATAATAATTCAAATATATATATATATATAAGTATACGATAGAACTTGAGCAAGCACTCTAGGAAAATTAATGGAACCAAAATTGGCAAATTAGGAAGAAATTTGACTTTTCGATATTTATGCAGCACTACCATTGTGACTTTAGAGCAGAATTATTTCATACAAAGTTCCATCTTATGAGATTTTCGGACAGAGTCAAAAATTATCATAAACGAGGTTTTGATCACAATCAGCTTCTAAACAAATTTAACTTTTTTTCTCGTCAAAAGTCGATATTTCATTTAAAAAATTTAAACAAAGTTTAAACTTAAACTAGTGGGGAGTATGGCATCGTGCCTTAAGGCAAATTGGTGGAACTTCCCGTACCGTAACGAAATGTTCGAGAAATACTGATTATTGTAACGTTGTGTAATATTTATAAGAATTATATAAACTGAATTGCAAAGTTAAAATTATTTGTTTAAAGTATATTAGACCTTTAGTCAGAATTAAAAATATAATCTGTTATTTTCGATATACAAAAAACTCTAAAAAAAAAAAATAATACAATTTTTTTTTCCAAAATCAATTATTTTGTTAAAACAAGCTGAAAGTTCTTTGAATCATTTGAATTGGATGCTTAGTTCTCTCAAAAACTGCCATTTTTTGCACATTTAGCTCTGTATCTTCGAAATGGCTGGGCTGCCGTTGCCAAAACTAATAATCACTTCTCCCAATCATTACTAATTGAATGTTTTTTAGATCATTCAAATCCGATACTACGTTCTCTCAAAAACTCGATTTCTATTTTCTGCACTCTTTGCTCCATATCTCCGTAACTGCTGGACCTGCCTTTGCCAAAAACTAATCAGCATGTTGAATGTTTTTTGAACCATTCAAATCGGTTGATCCATGCGCCCGCAAACGTGAACAAAAAATTGTATCCATACATACATACATACACACACACATCCATTTTTACTGAGATATGTTCAGAAACCTTCAAAACGTCGAGAAATGTAAAAATTTTCAATGTCGATTTTCGGCCCATTACAATAACTTACCCTACGGGAAGTTAAAAATTAGTAGTGCATGGTATCATGTTTTAAGGCAAATGGCTGGAACTTTCCATTCCGTAATAAACTATGCAAAAAATAAATAAATACTGAATCATTAAAATCAGGCATCGTTTCTCAAAAACTTCCATTTTTTGCAATATCTTTGCAAAAAACTAACAAGCAGGTCTCCTTTTCAAAAGAAATCTCCCAAAATCGTCGACGAAAAATTGTATCTGCATACACACATCCATTTTTTCTAAGGTATGCCAAAATGTTCAAAAACTTTAGAAACGTAAAAAATTTTGATATTTGATTTTTGGACAATTACAATAACTTACTCTACGATAAGATAACATCTCCAAACAAACATTATCATTTTATTTGAAAAAGTTTAAACTTTGGACTAATATTATAAGATGCTTCAAGCAGCTTATTCCTAAGTCTAAAGCTCGATAAATTCACCTATAATAGTCGTTTAACTCTATTTTACATCGTAGCAACCTGTCTGTACAAATAGTAGTTAGTTTGTACAAGTTCGAAATGAGAAAAGAATAACCATAACCTCTTCTTTCGGGTATTCAAAAATCAAGCTTTATTACAAATTGCATAAAAAGTTGCATAAATCGTTCTTCACCAGTTGTCCCTAAAAGACAGTAGTAATCGATCGATCAGTAGTTATTAAGTAGTTGTCATATTTGTTTTTCTAAGATAATTTGTTTCTCCGGTGCTCGCTTAATCTCGAATCTAGTTAAATCGTCTGTATCATCGCAATCGCAATAGTTTCGTCGGTTCGGTTGTTTGTTACGAGGTTGGTTCCTTCATCCAAAAATAGCCTACGAAGTCGGAATGGAATGCGTTCATTTGAGAGGAGAGCATCGGCATCAGGAGGAGCAGGAGGAGCAGGAGGAAATCTGGGACGAATTCAATACTACTTACTACTAAACGAACGACCGAAACATTCGAATGATGGCGAATTATTCGCATTTTTTAATTTGCAATAGGATAAGGGTAATGGAGTCGTGATCCTACCCAGAAATCTCAACGTGAGAATAAAAATTGGCTTAGTTAAATAGAATTATGCTGATTGGATAAAAGGGCACAAAAGACAAATATTGGTTGAAAACAAAATTAAACTAGTGTAAGTGGTATGAAATTGCTGGAACTTCCCGTACCAAAAATTATTTTTTTTTCAAAAGATTAACATCTTTGAAACAAAATTACTCTGAAAAAATTACATTTTGGAGAGTGTGGGAGTAGTAATGTATATGAAAGTATAAACTACACTTGTATAATAATATTTAAAACTTACTGATTATATAAATATTACGATATCAAAAATGACAAGTCCAATTGTTTTCTCTCTCATGACTAGCCTGCTTGATCCCCACAAGAAACTATTAATTTTTGACAAAAATTCACTTTTTTTTCTTTGAAGAACAAAAAGACTTTTTGAAGTAAAAATTTATTTTAAAATATTTTGGAAATTCTGAATTTTTTTAAGGCAATCGTACTGCTTTAACTGCATAGAGACGAAATATCCAAGCGCGTAAGCGACGCGTCGCCGTCTAACGGATAAACATTGGTACGGAACCCATAGGAATGCAAACAAAATTTATACTTATTGTTAAAATCTCTATAAAATATCTGATAATTTGATGTGCATATGTCTAATAATCATTTTTGACCACTAAATAGCATTTTTTTACTTTTTTCATTGGATCGAAACCGCTAGACCTGCCTTTATGAAAATTTGATCAGTTCTTCATCTTGTTAATACAAGTGAAATGTTTTTTGAATTATTAAAATCAGACGCTCCGTTCTCTTAAAAACTGAGTTACCGTTTTCGGCACTTTTTGCCCCGTATTTTCGGAACGGCTAGACCTGCCTACGCCAAAAACTAATTAGCACGTCTCCTTATCAATACGAATCGAATGTTTTTTTTAATTATTCAAATCGCTTCATCCGTGTTCCCGAAATCGTCGACAAAAGTTTGCATCCGCACACACACACATACATCAATTTTTTCTAATGTATGCCAATATATTCAGAAACCTTGGAAACGTAAAGATATATAAAAAATTTCATTTTCGATTTTTTTGCGATTACTATAACTTGCCCTACGGGAAGTTAACAAATCTATATTTGTGATATAATCTATATTTGAAAAAAGTTTAGATATAAATTATTTAAAATCTCTTGAATTCCTTTAGAGGGCCGTCTATTAATCAAGTGAGGTTTTTAAGGAAAGGGATGGTTTAACAAAATATCGCAAAATATCACATGGGGGATGAAGGGATATAGTAATACATCACATGTATTTTTCAAAAAAAAAAAAATACATAATATTTTCTCGTACACAATACATTTTTGGGAGAATGGGGATGATTTTGAATATCACCACATAAAACCAAGTGTGAGGGATGATCAAAAAAACCCTTAAAAAACGATAACGTGATTAATGGACTCCCCCTTCGTGTAATATCATTATAAAAGTTATTATATGGAGCTCTTTATATTTACATCAAATCTAATAATATGAAATTATAAATGCAATATACATAAAACAATGATATATATGTAAGAGATAGTGTAGATATTATGTAATTTAGTATATGGCTAATGTACCAGTTTATAAAGCCAATAAAATAATAAAAAAAAAAAAAAAAAGTACAAGAGTTTTTATGTTGTGGGGAAACCAAGCAGGATAGACTTGGAGTAAAAACAATATAACTTGTCATTTTTATTTATCATGAAATTTTGTAATTAATAAATCGTTTATATTTTCATCCAATGATTTTTATATATTCATATTCATAACTTTTGCCTACAATGTCAATTAGGCGGTATTAGGAGTGTGAATAATTAGCTTAAAGTTATTTATAAGTATCCTGAAACTAATGCAAATTATTTAGTTTTGTACAATTCAATTCAGTTTTATACAATGTTCTAAATAAGAAAATAAATAGCGTTTTTTTTAAGAATTAGAATTTCGTAAACATTTGAAAAATTTGAATTTTGAATAAAAAACGGTCAAAAAATATTACAACGTAACAACCTTCAGACCAATGTGAAACTGTCAAATCAAAACTGTCATCCACTCTTTCAACTGTCAAACATGTCTGCCGCATCCATCTTTAAAATAAAACGTGAAAGTGACAGTTGTTCTAACCCACAAGATTCGATTATTCCATTGTGATATAATTTTGCGTAAATAATAACAAATCTCAAAATGAGGCACATTTTGAAACAACTAACACCAATTCTACAAAAATCCCTATCACACACTTCAAATAAACAGTACATAAACGTTACGCAAATTATAGGTTATCCGCATCAAATTCGATTCTGTTCAACAGAAGTCAAAGACAAAAGAGGCACTGAAATCTATTGTGGAGCCCTATCACCGCAAATTAAATCTGTTAAATTGTTTTCTATAACGACAAGTATTGCTGGGATAATTGGACAACCTATATTGTTGTCGAAGACAGCAGAATTGGGTAAAATAGCTACGGGGGCTGCTTTTTGTTTTGTAGGATTCTTTACGTTTGTAACACCTATTCTGTTGCATTTGATCACTAAGAAATATGTTACAACTTTACATTATAATGAGGAAAGGGATACGTATACTGCTACTACGATTACAATGTTCTTGACCAAACGAGAGGTAATAATAGTCTAGCTTTATACTTCTTGATATATATATATATATATATATATATATATATATATATATATATCTATTACTATGTCTATTATCTTTTAGTTGGAGTTCAAACAAAGCGATGTAGTCGTCCCAGATGTTCCAGGAATGTTCACAACATTCATGGTAAACGAAACCCCATTATTCATCGAGCCAAATCAATTTACAGATCCCGAACACTATATCAAACTAATGGGATTTGATAAACCGATGGATTTCAAACTTAATTTAGATGCTACTGAATATAATAAAGAAACTAAACAGCAATAGTTATAGTGTATATATAGAATGTAGATTGTGTGTAATGTGATAAATGTTATAATAATTATTAGTTATATACATTGTTTTTGTTTACATGTTTTTTATAAATTTTGTTGCATGTTTTCAGATTGTGTAATATTCACAAGATATTATTATATTTATATCTTCAAATAATACTCAATTTAAGTCAAAATTTAACTAGTGGTGCATGACATCGTGCCTTAAGGCAAACTGCTGGTACTTTTCTGTATCAAAATTAAATATTTCAGCAAAAAAAATTAATAATCAATAAATATTGATCAATGATTAATAACAATTGTTTCAAATAATTTTAAAGAAATAATTATAATTGCTATAAATTTATTTGTTTATATAATTTGATGATATTATCGCTCAAAACACTTAAGAATATTTAAGAAATAATTATAATTGCTATATATATATTTGTTCATACAATTTGATGATATTATCGCTCAAAATACTTAAGAATGTTTACATTGACAAGAGATGCCGAATGAATCCATCTGAGGATATATTTCTTATGAGTAAAATAACGCATACGAAATATATACATTTTTGAACTGAATTGTAAATATAAAATTTATATTTCAAGTATAAAATTTTGTATATTTTTGAAAATTTTGATAAAAAAACTTGAAATGCTTGAAAATGTTTACATTAACAAGAGATGCCAAATGAATTCATCTGAGGATATATTTTTTACAAGTAAAATAACGCACATGAAATATATACATTTTTAAACTGAAGTGTAAATTTAAAATTTATATTTTTAGTATGAAATTTTGTATATTTTTGAAAATTTTGAAAAAAAAAACTTGAAATGCTTGAAAATGTTTACATTAACAGGAGATGCCGAATGAATTCATCTGAGGATATATTTTTTACAAGTAAAATAACGCATAAGAAATATATACATTTTTAAACTAAAATGTAAATTTAAAATTCATATTAAAAGTATAAAATTTTGTATATTTTTGAATATTTTGAAAAAAAAAAACTTCTGAAAATTTTGAACTTTGTATGAACTGTATAAGTAAACTTTAAATTATTAAAAATCTTGGTACGGAACCCAAAAAAATTGTGACAAAATTAGTACACATGTTTAAAATATCTGATAATTTGATTTGCATATGTCTAATGATCATTTTTACCGCAAATATCACTTTTTTTACGTTTTCGTCTGTATCTCCAAAACCGCTAGACCTGCCGTTTCAAAAATGTAAAACAAGTAAAATGTTTTTTGAATCATTCAAATCGGGCGCTCCATTCTTTTGAAAACTAAATTACAATTTTTGGCACTTTTTGCTCCGTATCTTCGAAACGGCTAGACCTGCCTTTGCCAAAAATTAATCAGCACGTCTTCATATCAATCGAAATCGAATATTTTTTGAATCATTCTAATCGGTTGATCCGTGTTCACGAAGTCGTCAACGAAAATTTATATCCGCACACACACATACATCCATTTTTTCTAAGGTATGCCAAAATGTTTAGAAGGTTTTGAAACCTAAAGATATATAAAAGTTTTCATTTTCGATTTTTTCGCGATCACTATAACTTGCCTTACGGGAAGTTAATTAGTATACATTTTTTTAAAATCTTTAAATATCTTTTCTTTTAATCTTTCTTTGTATCTCCAAAACCGCTAGAACTGCAATTCTGAAAATTGAAACAATTCTTCCTTTCGTCAATACGTTTTTTTGAATCATTCAAATCGGGTTCTCCCTTCTCTAAAAAACTGAATTACTGCTTTCGGCACTTTTTGCCCCGTATCTCCGAAACCGCTAGACCTACCTTTCCAAAATTTAATCAACTCTTCATGTTGTCAATACGAGTAAAATGTTTTTTGAATCATTCAAATCGGTTGAATGATGAGACACATCTAGTCTCAAAATGTATAAAAAATTAAAATAAACGAAATATTGTATCCAAAAATGCACACATACACACGCACATACATACATCAATTTTTTCTAAGGTATGCCAAAATGTTCAGAAGGTTTTGAAACGTAAAGATATAAAAAAAAAACATTTTTGATTTTTTACCCTAAGGCAAGTTAAGAATTTGTCTATAAAATAAAAATAAAAATTGTTGTATATCTAATAATCTAGTTCTATTTATATGACTGTTATTGTTAAAATACTTAAAAATTAGTTAACTAAAAACTTATAATTTAAAAACACTTAAAAAATTGTGAAACAAAATATTTCTTTCATCAAAGTACCTAAAAATTTGTAAAAGAAAGAACTTATATTGTAAAAATACTTGATAAAAATAATAAAAGCGATAATGATAGTATAAACAATAATAATATTAATAATAATAAAAATAATATAAGACACTTAAATTTGTTAAAATATCATAAAATAACCTAAAATTTGTTAAATAAAATAATTATATTGTAAAAATTATTAAAATACTTATTAAATTTAAAAAAAAAATTACTTCCAACAAACAAATTAGTTATATTTAAAAATAATTAAAATTAACTAAATGTAAATAAGTTTATAGTAAATAAATTAAATACTAAATGAATAAGTAATGAAATAGCTAATAGTTAATTAAATCATATTAAACCTGTAAAATATTGACTTGAGCCTTATTATAATATTATTATACCGACGGCTTGTAAAATAAATAAAAATAAATATTTGAAAGCATTTAACACTTCCCGAATATCACACGTGAATTTGGGAAGTTCCAGCAATTTGCCTTACGGCACGGTACAGTTATATAATATTTTTCAAATTTAAAAATTCAAATTTCAAATTTCAAATTCGCCGCCATTTCGCCCAAAACCCCTTCCGCCATGTTGTCACATTGACTGTCAACTTTCAGTAATGGCGACGTAAACAAAATCAATGAAATGTTATTTATTATTGATTTTTTTGTTATGTTTATCTTTAAACTGTTATTAACATGTTAACTAATTAATTAAATTTATAAAAAAATAAAAATATCTATCACTTAATTATCTTATGGTTATTTAGTTTATTATTATTATAACTTGTTGAGTTTAATAAAATGTCTTTCGAATCTGTTGCTTTACAACAAAATTATGAAATTGAAAACGATTTGACATTCTTGGTCGATCCTAAAAGTTCGGAAAGTGTCGATTATGTGTTTAAGGACGATGAAGAATTTGAGGAGGAATTGTTGCATGATAAATCATTTATGTCAAATGTAAGGGTAAAAGATAATTTATATATTATATATATATATATATATATATATATATATATATAATATATATAGATGAGTAAGTTCTTCAAGGGCAATACATCAAATAAAAGGCAAAGATTTAGAAGTTAATCTTTAATTTTTTCCAAACGTTTCGACATAGGATTTTATGTCATCAGTGGATCTACAGAATGAACATTCAAAAATTAATATAAACTAGGAAAAAATTACAGAAATTGGAAAAAGAACTATAGATACAAGTATTATAATTATAACAATAACAATTATAACTAAACAGATAGACAAAACATAAGAAATGAAAAGTAAAAAGAAATATATACAAACATACAAAAGCGTAATATATATACATAAATATACATATAAACAGACATATATATATATATATATATATATATATATATACACACATAATATATATAAAGGTGTTGTAATATGTGTTAGTGAAGTGTGTTTTTTCCTGATCTGGTGTGTATAATTTGTTGTTTTTTTCAATTAATTTTTTCAATGTATAAATTCATTTTTTTAAATTTTTTCTTTATAATGTAAATTTCTTTTAGCTGAATGATAAGACACACCTAGTCTCGAAACTTATAAAAAATTAAAATAAATTTTCTACATTCGACGCATTGGCTGTTTTATTCATTTCAATATGTTTCAACATCGAACAAAATATATATATATATATATATATATATATAATAGCCAGTTATAATATATATATATGTATATATATATATATATATATATATATATTATGTTAATAATTAGTTGCAATACATCCTACGGACTTATGGAGTGTTATGTTATATGTTTTTATAATGTTATATATTACCCGATAAATTTTAACTATCTGAATTTTATGCTTTCAAAGACTAGTCTAGACCATTATAAATTCTATTCTTTTTATTCTGCTAAAATATCATCTACCATCCTACATTTTCACCCTCCTACAACAAAACCAATTTTGTAATAAAATATTTGGTGTTTAAATTAGTAATCAAAGCATTTATCATTACGTATCATTTTCATTACTAATAATGATAATGATACTTTTTATTTTGCTACTAAATCATCACATGTATAATATGTAAAATATTTTTATTATATATAATATTTCTTTTTTCAGAGTTCTGGACCAGAACCAGAAGTTGATACACCGACATCAAGTCTTATAGATGAGATTGAATTGTAAGTGTTTGATATGATACACGAATTAAGTCAAAAATGATTTATATGTTGTAATTGATTTTGAAGCACTAATGTATTATATATGCTGTAACTTTAAAACCATTTGTTTAATATATATGATATTCAAGAAATTTGTACGAAATTGATCAATCTACAAATGTTTCGAATGATGAAACACTCTAAAACAGCTCGGTATATTTTAAAATCGCAATTAAAATGAAGCAAATATTCTTAGTATAAAGTATACTTGTTTCCAAACAAACTGAAGGTTTTGAAAAATTTTCTACATAGTGTTTGTAGTGACATCTTGTTTTGGAATTCAGTACACGTAGTGCGTATTTTTAGTTAATTGCTTGTAACTTCTAAACTATTATTTTGATTTAAATTATGTCTTAGGCGAATTTGTTTAAAATTAAATATTTAATAATCTAATATTTTGACGCTCTATACCAACTCGGTATACTATAAAACGCATTTGAAAGTATACAACTTTGTTTCCGCCTTTATTAGAAAGAATTCGTATAGTAAAAACGGCGGAAGCAAAGTTGTACACTAAATACTTATAAAAGTGTTGAACTAATGTAATATATATGCTTATAATTCTAAAACCATTCGTTTAATATTAATGATGTATTCGAGGAATTTGTTCAAAATTAAACAATCTACAAAAGTTTCTAACAATAAATGACTCTAAAGCAACTCGGTATATTTAAAAAACGCAATTGAATAAAGTAATTATTTGAAGTATAAGATTCATTATGCCTAGAAGATATTTTTATTTTATTGCATATAACTTCTAAACCATTCGTTTAAAATGAATGATGTATTCTACAAATTTGTTTAAAATTAAATAAATAACGATGTTGTCTAACATTATATCACCTTACGGCAACTCGGTATACTTTAAAGTCTAAATTATAAACACAAAATTAATCTCAGCGCGTTCATAGTACATTTATTTCTTCAATCTTTCATAAATCTCAAACCATTCGATTAATATTGTTGAGGCGTGAGGCAAACTTGTACAAAATTAAACAATCTGGAATCTTTACTAACATTATGAATCTTCTAACCAACTCGGTATACTTTAAAATCTCATTTGAAAAATACAACTTTGCTTGCGCCTTATTGTTAAAGAACTCGCTTAGTAAAACCGGCGAGAGCAAAGTTGTACGTACTAATGTATTATATATGCCTATAATTCGAAAACTATTTGTTTAATACGAATGAGATATTTCGGCGAATTTGTTTAAAATAAATAATATACAAATGTTTCTAATAATAAATGACTCTACAGCAACTCGGTATACTAACAAAAACGCAATGGAAACTTAATAAATAATCTCTGCATCAGGCATACTAATTTCCAAAACAAACTGAAGGTTTTCAAAGATTTCTACATAGTGTTTGTATTGACATCTTGCTTTGGAACTTAGTATTCCTAGTACGTATTTTTACTTTATTGCTTGTAACTTCTAAACTATTCGTTAAATATGAATGATGTATTTGGTGAATTTATACAAAATTAAATAATCAACAATGTTGTCTAATATATTTTGCTCTATAGCAACTCGGTAATACTTTAAAACGCATTTAAAAACATACAACTTTGCCTGCGCCTTTATTGTAAGAAGTCGTATAATTAATCTCGGCGGACGAAAAGTTGTACGTCGTAATACTTTTAAATGTCGTAATAATGTAATAGAAATGCCTATAACTTCTAAACCATTCGTTTAATATGAATGATGTCTTCGGCAAATTTGTTTAAATTAAACATTAACAATATTGTCTAACATCATAGGGCTCTAAAGCAACTCGGTGTACTTAAAAACGCATTTTAAAGCAT